GAGGAAGGAAGGAAGGAAGGAAGGAAGGAAGGAAGGAAGGAAGGAAGGAAGGAAGGAAGGAAGGAAGGAAAGAAAATGGGGCATGGAAAGATAGTTCAGCAATTAAGAGCACTGACTGCTGTTGCAGAGAACCCAGGTTCAAATCCCACATCTCACAACCATCTGTAACTCCAGTCCCAGGGGATGCAGCACCCTCTTCTGGCCTCCGGGGGCACTGCATGCAAGTGGTACACATACATGCAGGCAATCACCCACATACGTAAAATTAAAATCAAGAAAACGAAGGAGCTAGGACACTAGCTGTCTGCACAGGTGATAGCACATAAACATTGTACAGGGTTGCCTTTCAACTGTAAAGTAAGGCCAGAGCAGAGGCAGGGTTCTGCTTCTCTGAGTTCGAGGCCAGCCTGATCGACAGAGCGAGTTCCAAGACAGCCAGGGCTACAGAGAAACACTGTCTTGCACAAGCAAAAATTTAAAAAAAGAAAAATTTAAAAAGAAAGAAAAACTTTAAAATCAACTTTTTCTCAAATTCTAATATTTTGGGTCAGGGTTGTAGCTCAGTGACGGAACACATGTACAAGGCCTGAGGTTTGGAGTTCAGTTCCCAGCACTGCAAAAAGTGTGTGTGTGTGCATGCATGTGTGTGATAAACGGAAAAACAAATAAGATGTTGCCCCAGGGACCATACTCTCTAAGTAGTGTGATCAATAAAACGTGGTGGCTGTCAATATTTAATAAGGAAGGAAACGGCTAGATCTATGACTCAGTGGTTAACAGCACTTACTGCCCTTGCAGAGGACATGGGTGCAGTTCCCAGCACGCATTGGTGCTCACAGTTGGCTGGAACACCTGTTCCAAGGGTTCCAGCACCTTCTGATCTCGAGCACCAGGCATGAATGCAGGCAAAACACTCATACACATACAATAAATTTAAAAATTGAAAATATGAGTTTAATAAGGAAGGGAATGAGATTAAACGGTGATCAGTGCTGGCTGGGAAAGAGCAGCTGAGAAGGGGTGTGGCCAGATGCCGATACGATGTCCTGAGAATGCAGGCCAGCACAGCCACCTGGGAAACAGCCGGGCCTTACCCAGCAGCATGAATACTTGTACACTTACATCAGGCAAGCCAGGCTTGGTGGAGGCAGGAGGCTCAGGGGCTCAGCGTCATCTTCAGCTGCGTTTGAAACCATCCTGAACTATATAAGCCCCTCTCAAGAAAACAAAAGCCGGAAATCTCCCGAGCATGTGCGCTGTGTCATGGGCATCAGGAAGCACATATAACCCATTGTGGACAGTGACCAAAGTCTGGTAGCAGGAGATGATAGATCGACAGAGGTGTCATGAGAGAATGCTTCCTGCAGTGAGAAAGAATACACTCTAGCTGCATGTAACAACACTTGACCCTGCGAGCAGTCCTGAACAGCGACTGTGGCTCCCTGGGAAGGGTAGGAGGGGTCTGGGGATCAGGAAGGGACTCTGGGTGTGGGCAGTGTTGTTTCTTGGCATAGGCAGTGGTTACATGGGTATGTTTTTATAATTATATACTCTACAAAAATTTCATGTTTTTAAATGCTTTTTTAGAATAACCTTAATAAAAACGAAAAGCAAGCCAACAAGCATTAGCTGGGCCTGGTAGTAAGTCTTGGGAGACTGAGGTAGGGAGGGTAGACGTTGAAGCTAGCCCTGGCTACATAGTAATTTGAATTCAGCCTGGATTATGTGAGACCCCCATCTCCATCTCAAAAAACTCCAAACAAAAGAGCCTGGCAGGCTGCTCCTCCGGGGGCTGCCCAGCTCTGGGTGTCCCCGGCCTCGAGCCCTGCTCCAGGTCTGTGCCTGAACGTGCTCTGCTGTCCCCCACCTGGCCCTGTGCCTGAACGTGCTCCGCTGTCCCCCACCTGGCCCAGGTGCAGCGGAACTGCTGTCTGACCCTGTGCAACTTCAGCATCCCCGAGGAGCTGGAGTTCCAGTACCGCCGCGTCAACGAACTTCTGCTCAGCATCCTCAGCCCCACGCGGCAGGACGAGTCGATCCAGCGCATCGCCGTGCACTTGTGCAACGCCCTGGTCTGCCAGGTGGACAATGACCACAAGGAGGCTGTGGGCAAGATGGGCTTCGTGGTGGTACGTGTGCTTGCCCGCCCTTGTCATCCTGTCCTCTGTGAGTAAGGCCTCAGGAGACCTGGGCTGGGGTAGGAGGGCAGGGAAAGTCAGCAGGGTAGACCCAAGGGAGCGCATCTGGGTCTTTTTTTTTTAATAATGTATTTAATTTTTATTTTATGTACATTGATGTGAAGGTGTCAGGTCTCCTTCCTGTTGTGAGCTGCCATATGGGTGCTGGGAATTGAACCTGGGTCCTCTGGGATAGCAGCCAGTGCTCTTAACCACTGAGCCATCTCTCCAGCCGGCATCTGTGTTCTTTTCGTCTTTATGTGGGGTGGGTAGAGGAGAGGATTGCTAAGGACTGAGTGCAGGGCCTGGCGAACGCTGGGCAAGTGCCCAGCACTGAGCCTCACACCAGCACTTGGAAGACTTTCATGCGCGCATGCGTGTGGGGGGTGGGGGGGCTAGTGCAGGCCAGATTGGTTTGATCCATCTAGAGCTGGAGTTATAGGTAGCCATGTGCCGTATCACACTTGGGTCCTCTGCAAGAATAGTGTGCACTCCAACTACAGAGCCGTCTCTGCAGGCCCCAGAAGAGTTGTTTGTTTAGTTCTTTTATTTTTAGTTTTTTGAGACAAGGTCTTTCTATGTAGCCCTGGCTGGCCTGGACCTTGATATGTAGACCAGGTTGGTCTCAAACTCAGAAAGATCCACCTGCCTTCCCCTGAGTGCCGGTATTAAAGGTGTATACCACCAGCCACCAGCCACCATGACCACCTCAGAAAAACTGTTTTGTTTTTCAAGACAGGGCTTCTCTGTGTAGCCCTGGATGTCCTGGAACTTGCTTTGTAGACCAGGCTGGCCTCAAACTCACTGAGATCCTCCTGCCTCTGCCTCCTAAGTGCTGGGATTAAAGGTGTGCACCACCATGCCTGGCGATCAGAAGAATTTCTGAATGTGATTGTTGCTGATTATTGTGTGGCCTTCCCTGTCTTTGAACTACTTCCACTCAGCTCCATGCAGTAATCCCTGTGGCAGGAGACCAGGGTGGGCCTCCATCACTGTGCTGTCCTGGCCTGCTGTGAATAAATTCCCAGCCAGTACCTGGGACAGGATAAATATGGGAGGGAAGGAGGAGGCGGGCACTAGATGCATCCATCGTTAGCCTCACTTTACCCCTGGGGAAGCGCAGCCCAGAGCATGGGAGGGCTGGACCAAGTACCAAGGGTATGTTCTTGACCCCCCTTCAAACAGCCTTAAAAAACCATAGTGTTGGGTGCTGTCGGGCTGTCACCCAGGACAGCCAGTGGCTCCCTCTGCTGAGCTCCCGGGTTGTTGGAGTCCTGGCCTCAGGCAGCCTCTCTCCTCTCCCCACAGACCATGTTGAAGCTGATCCAGAAGAAGCTGCTGGACAAGACGGTAAGGAGAGCCTCACATACTCTGCCCACACCCCAGAGATTCTGTGCCAGGGCTGGCCGTGTGTCCTTAGGTGGGCTCGGCTGAGCTGTGCCTCCCCCACAGTGTGACCAGGTGATGGAGTTCTCCTGGAGTGCCCTGTGGAACATCACAGACGAGACACCCGACAACTGCGAGATGTTCCTCAACTTCAATGGCATGAAGCTCTTTCTCGACTGCCTCAAGGTAGGCACTGCCCTGGCTGCCACCCACCCCACAGGCTGCCACCCACCCCACAGGCTGCCACCCCACAGGCACTATCCCATACAAGCTTCCCATGGACACCGGGGCATGAGCAATCCAGCCCCCGCCCCCTCCCCCGCCCCCGGCCCCCCAGCTGAGCCTCCTGAGATCCTTTCTGCCAGGGAACCCCCAGCCTGTGTTCACAGCAGTCTGCTGTGATTGCCCACAGACCATTTCCTGCTAGTAGATACAGTTCTGCCCAGAAGGTAGGACTCTGTTTCTTGCTCTAGCTTCCGAGGAGCTCCCCAAAAGGACGCTTCTAAGCTGTGGGCCACACTTGTCCCACAGGTCACAGGAGCACTAGAAAGTTGGGGTCAGCCTACTGTACCTCTTCTGTGTCTAGAGGGTCATTCAGACAGGTGCCCACAAGGCCTTCAGGGTAACAATCAGACATTAAATGACCAAGTACAAAGGCCTTGCTGGATCTGGTTCCCCAGGAGTTCCCAGAGAAGCAGGAACTGCACCGGAACATGCTGGGACTCTTGGGGAACGTGGCAGAGGTGAAGGAGCTGCGGCCTCAGCTGATGACCTCGCAGTTCATCGGCGTCTTCAGGTTGGTGCTTCCTCGGCTGCCAGGGCACTCACAACAGTAGTGTGTATTCGATGGCCACAGCCGAGCTCGGTCTAGGTTTCTGTCGGTGACCCTGCTTTCTATCTGTAATGGGGGTTTTGTTTTTAATTGGCTTGAATTATGTGGGGGGTGGATGGGTATGTGCCCATGAGTGCAGTTGCCCATGAAGGCCAGAGGCTTTGGGTCTTCCTGGAGCTTCAGGGTACAGGCATTTGCAAGCCGCCAAGTGTGCTGGGAATATTCCGGTCTCTGAAAGAGCAGCGTGTGCGTTTAACCATGGAGCCGTTTCTCAAGCCCCTGGGTGTTGTCTTTTTCTTTCAACCTGCCGCAGATGGCAGTAATGTCACATCCATTTTTGAAGGACTCTGTGCCTAACAAGTGGCTGGATGTGTTGGCACAAGCTTGTAATCCCAGCACTTGGGGGACGAAGCAGGAATCTTGACGACATAGCACGTTCCAGGCCAGCCTGAACTGCATGAGATCCTGACTCAAAAAAACAAACAAACAAAAGACCCTAGTCGTTTACAGCTGAGCCCGGTAGTACACACCTGTAGTCCCAGTGCTCAAGAGGCTGACCGGGCAGAGTCACAGTGATAGTGCCTCTGGCATCGGGGGTCTAGGTTATCATCCATGAGTGCATGATGGATTTTTCCTTCTTCCTCCTGGTAGCAACCTGCTGGAAAGCAAGGCCGATGGCATCGAGGTTTCTTACAATGCCTGTGGTGTTCTGTCCCACATCATGTTCGATGGGCCTGAGGCCTGGGGTGTCTGTGAGCCCCAGAGGCCAGAGGTGGAGGAGCGTATGTGGGCAGCCATCCAGAGCTGGGACATCAACTCCCGGAGGAATATCAACTACAGGTGAGAGATGGGAAGGTACCCAGCATGGAGAGTCAGAAGCTGCTTGTCCCAGCATGCTGTATCCAGAGCTTCCATCCTGGTCCTGTCCTCCAACGGCATTTTCTCTCGCCCACTGTAGGATCCAGTGTGTGATGGGCACATTCCCCACTTAGTAACACCTGTGTGTATCCAAGGCCTGTGTTTTATGCATGCTTGATACAGAACTAAATACACAGCAAAACACAAGTCACCTGTAACCCTGTCCCCACCAGGCTGGCTTCAGTTCTTACTGTGCTGTGAGTGGATTGCCGTCTCCAGTCAGCCCCTTTCTTCCCGCCGGGCTGTCTGTGCAGCTGGTTATTAAGTCAAATACTCTTTTGAAAGGATGGGCTGAGGTCTGCAGCTTTGCTCAGGCCCTAGGTCCCTGGGAGACAGGAAGCTCAGTCTCGGGGCCCCTCTGAGGCCTTGCTGATTTGGTTTGGGGGCTGGCACTCCAGCCTGGCCTAGAGTCACTGTAGGCAATTTCCAGGGCTTCTCCCTTCCTCGCCACAGCTTGTTTCTCTCAGGTTGCCGAGACCCCCCAGCTTTCCCTCTGTTCTGACTTTGATCTTGTCCAGCGTGAGCTCCTGGGCAGAGCCTGCAGCAGGACCCCTGGCATCCCCCAGGCTTGCCCATGCTGCCCTTAGGCCCCTGCAGGGAGGAGAGCCCACTCACCCCCCGCTTCAGTCTCAGGGGCAACAGCACCAGTCTCTCTCCTCCAGGTCCTTTGAGCCGATTCTCCGCCTCCTTCCTCAGGGCATCTCTCCAGTCAGCCAGCACTGGGCCACCTGGGCCCTGTACAACCTCGTGTCTGTCTACCGTGAGTGCCTCCCCTCCCCAAGTTCAGACTCTCACTCAGCTGAACACAGCATGTCCACAGGGAGCTTGCATGCAGGAGGGGTCCCGTGGGGTTACCGTTGGCCTTGTGTCTTAGAGCAGGTCCTCTGCACTTGGGGACTGGTGGCATGCCGGGGTGATGGCAGCCCCACGCACCATCAGAAGCGACGCGGCCTGTACAGTGTGCCTTTCCTCACACTCCCTAACCTACTTGTCAGTGACCTTCCAGTCTTTTTACCACCTGCAGGGCAAAAGGATACCCGTGGCTCCAGCCTGGGTGGTTACCACAGTCCCCCGGGGGTGTCTTACTAACAATATCATAAATGCAAGCTGCTGCCTGGGAACTCCAGTTCCAAAACTCCCGGGGAACCTGTGTCATGATGCAAACCTCTAAGAGGGGTATCATGCTTTGGGCCTGTGCTTGGAATAATATTTTCTTAATTTATTTGTTAGGACAAAGTCTGGGGGAACTACAACAACTTTGGACCACAATAGGAAGTGTCTTTCCCAAGGGCTTGCCCCTTTCCCGTGCAGGTGGACCCAGGAGGCAGGCAGACCTGGCTTGCCCCAGCCCCAGTGGGTCCCTCCCCGCCGCCACCGCTGGCAGCCGCTGTAGAGCAGTTCTGGAAGCAGGGTGGGTGTCTGGGGCACAGACCCGTAGAAAGCACCCCATCCTCAGCTCCCTGCTCTGCCCTACAGCTGACAAGTACTGCCCCCTGCTGATCAAAGAAGGTGGGATGCCCCTGCTGAGGGAGCTGATCAAGATGGCCACTGCCCGGCAGGAAACCAAGGAGATGGCCCGGTAAGAGACAAATCTTGCATTTCTGGCTGGGTATCTTGATCTGGTGGGCAAGGGGCACAGTGGGAATGGCCAAAGTTCCCAGGGGTCACTCAGGGTTGAATGTGGAGCAGACAGTGTCCAGCAGGGGCCCCTGTCATTTATCCATGTCACCGATCTGCAGCAGAGTTAATCTGCTCTCAAGGGCCCGGCTGGCTTCCTTTGATTCCCACTGAGAACCTCCTTGCTGCCCAGCAAGAACTCCGCATTATTTTTGACCACAGTGATTCCAGTGAAAAAGGACTCAGTGCGGTGATGCATATTCTAGAGGCCATGTGTGCACAGTGCTAGTTTATCTGAATGCCAAGTGGGAAGGCGAAGGTCACCAGGGAAAAGTGCCCTTTGATAGGCTAAAAGGAGGCTCAGTGGTACAGTATGCATGTACAGTATGGGGCATGCGCAAGGCCATCCATAGCTCATATATATGTGTGCACGTGTGTGCACACATACATACCCACGCACACGCACAAATTATCAGTGTGGGTGTTGGGGTATGCCAGAGTCCACACTGGGCTTCTATGTCCGTGGGATTCATTGTTGAGTGTTGAGCATCAGCTCTGATTGTCCCTCCAGTGTGTGCACAAGAAAGTACAACACCACCTGCTAGTATCAGTTGGACTGGCCATCCTCTCTCCCGATCCATTCTAGTTGGGAGGGTAGTCCCTTGTCATAATCCTGAGCACAGTGTAGCCTGAGGCTCAGACACCCCCACCCCCACCCTCAGAATCTGTCCTCCTGGGCTGGAGGCATCAGCGAACTGGTTCCATTCATTATTTTTGGTGAAGGCATTGCTTCAGTCTTACTGACAGACTAGTCCTCAGTCTTCCTCGGAAGTCCCGGGGAACTCACCAGCAGATTTCTTACCAGGGGCCTGGGGCTATCTGTGCCAAACAAGGATCCTAGGACTTGCCAGTCACTAGGTGGGGCTCACCAGCCCTCTGGCACCAAAGGCCCTTTTGGCATCAAGGAATAAATGGCCCTGGGCATTTCCTTCTCAAAGGCCTTAATGCAGCCTTTTAGCAAATGGGGGCTGCAGCGAACCCCCAAACCCAGAGGCTTCCTGTTGAGCAGGCAAGCAGTGTAGGTCAAACGTAACCACACCAGCAGTGGGTGGCAGTTTTCTCAGGGAGCAGAGTGAGCTGGGACACTAAGACCGGAGACAGCGTGGCTGCCTGTGCAGATCTCCAGTCTGGTCCTTTTTGGGGACCCCCTAGTGGACTTCTGCTGAGAGAGTGGGCTGTGTGCAGGGAAAACGGTGAGGAAGGCAGCAGTAGGTTCGGGGGCTCAGGCCTGGTAGGACCCCCTTCCCAAGCTGAGGGCAGCGGCAGTGCCCATGGCCACAGGCACTGTTTCCCAGGTGCTCTGCCAGCCACTGACACACCGTTCAAGTCTGCGCCAGCGTCAGGGTCGGGGTCAGGGTCACTCCTAAGGTTCCTTAGACAGCTGTGTGGCCGCAGGAGGAGAGGGGGCCCCAGGAGGGGCGGGGCGGGGGGGCAGGAGGAGCGGGGACCGGGAGGAGCGGGGCCCCGGAGGAGCGGGGGGTGGGGGGCCCCAGGAGGAGCGGGGGGCCCCAGGAGGAGCGGGGGGGGCCCCCCCCCCCCGGAGGAGCGGCTCTCCTTAGCCACCCTCCACTGCTCTCCCCCGTTGCATCCAGCAAGGTGATTGAACACTGCAGTAACTTTAGAGAGGAGAACATGGACACGTCCAGATAGAGGCCTCCACCCATGGCCACACAGCTCGGACCACAGGACAGGAGGAAGCGCTGGAGGTCCAGTGGCGGGTCCCTTCCGCCTCCCCAGGATGAAGAGACAGCGAGGACTTTGCACACTGACGCTTTTCCTTAATGTTAGTGAGATCTATATATTCTATATATATTATTTTTTTTTGGTTAGGAAGTGTGAAGTTTTGTGTGTATGACCTCTCCTGAGTCTTCGCAGCTCCCTGCCACTCTCAGCCTGCCTCCAAGCTTTCATGGCTACCATGCTCACTCCCGCCCAGCCAGGCTTGCCTCTAATGCTGTGCGTCTCCAGCCCCTTCCCAGTGAGCTCAGACCCTGGCCCGGCTTCTGTCTGTCGTGGGAGGAGCTGGCCCCTACTGGGCAACAGCCCCATGCCTGCCTGAGGGCCCTGTCGGGGCTCCCAGGTGAGGCTTGATGGGGTTGGGGGATTAAGACCAGCTCTATTGAGTCTCCCAGAAGCCTTGGTGCTCCAGGCTGTAAGCCGTCCGAGGCCTCAGGCTAAGCAGCTCCTGTCCAGGGCCCCCCTGAAGAAGCAGGGCTGTGTTGACTCTCTGGCCAGGGCTGCCTGTGGCCATGCTGCTATGGAGGCTGCCTCAAGTCTCCCTCAGGCCCCAGGCTTTTGAAGGCTCCAGCCCAGAGGTGGTCAGAACTCAGGGGCGATTCCGTTTGCCCCTTCTGCCAAACATGCCCACCCCACCCCAGCTCTGGCAGCTGGCACCTTCCAGGACCAGGTCTTGCTCCTTTTTCTGTAGCTCTCATCTGCCCCCAGCATCCCAGTGCCCAGGTACTCCCACCAGCAGAGCTGAGCCCACCCCCCTGCCCAAAAGATACTACAAGGCAGGGGCTCCCCACTTCAGCCCTTCACAGTGACAGCGGGCAGCCACCTCCAGACCAGCACTGGACAGTCCTCTGTCCCTCCAGCCCACTCAGGCTGTCCCTGAGAAGCCGCTGTGTTGTGTTACAGGCACAGTGGCAGGCCGCCGCTGTCTAGGCATCTCGTGCATTGTGCGTTGTATCTGTGCATTGCTCCTCACTGACACAGGACCACTGAGGAGGCCTGTGCTCACGAGAGCCAAGCTCCCCCTGGAGGCAGCTTTTGGTGTGGCTTTTTCTGCCCTCTTTCTTCCCTGGGCCTGTCCTTTGATTTTTCTGGCCTGGCCTGTCTGTCTCCAGGCAGAAGGGGCCTGGCTGTTCACAAAACGCAGGGAGAGGTAACTGACCTCTCCAGAGGAAGCTGTCTCCCTGGCCAAGTTAGAGAGAGGGCGTAACCGTGTGCTTCTCCCATGCGGCACGCGGGCGACCTTAGCCCTCCTTTCCACCCCTGCCCTTCTGGCAGCAGCCAGACCATGAGCAGAGTTCACATCCCATGCTTTACCACCTGCGGTCTGGGGGAATGTCTGTACTTTGGGGTGTCACGGAAATACATTTTTGTGCAAAGTGCAGAAGAGTGGTCTCTTTTTGCAAAGGAGATTGGGGAATACTGGTCTGGGGTGGGGGTGGGGGGTCAGGAAAGGGGCTGAGGGTCTCCCAGGGGGACCCTGGACTCTCCAGGCGGTTTTGTCGCAGGTGTATGTGCCGGCAGGCTGGAGACAGGCGGCACACTGAGGCGAGGTGCATCTGTGACATTCCCTCCACATCTATGCCTAGACACTGAGGTCATGGCTGGCCACCAGACTGCCAGAGCCTCCGCTGGGCTGGCACAGCCTACTGGGAGAGACACAGTAAATAGAAATGGACTCGCCACTGTGCAGGAAAGATCGGAAAGGTGCCTCCTGCCATGCCGGGAAGATGAAGTGGCTCAGAACGTCTGGTGGGTGCTAGGCCGTGTCACAGCCCTGTGGAGGGAGAAGAGCAGGGCGCTGGCAGAGTGTCCTCCACATAAGGCTAAGCCGAGCAGCGGAGTGGAGCCTGCCAGGATCTCAGACAGAGAGAGGGCCCTGCTGCGGCAGTCAGGGAAACCGCCCCCTGGGGAGCGGTACTGGAAAGGCACATGAAGCTGTGTGTGTGTGTGGGGGGGGGGGGGACAGAGCTAAAGAGCCGAGAACAAACCTGAAATGGGGAGGCTCCGGCCTTGCCAGGACAGCCCTGCTTCTGTCTGGGCCCTCGTGGACCAGCGAGTAGTCCTCGCTCTCACACATTCTTGAATTGACAGTAACCACGCGGTCAGGTGCTCTCCAGACCACACAGAGGGTGAGGGCAGAAGTTCAGGGCCACATCAAACGGTTCTGGGAGCTGGCCTGCTGACCATGCCCTCCTCAGTAGAGCAGAGTCCCCTCTTCCTCAGCAGAGCCCACACCAGGCTCTTCCCTGGGGGAGCACCCTCTATCACTGGCAGCCCACAGGGTCCGGCCAGAAAGGGCATCACATCACAAGGGTGCTTTGCCCTTGAACTCTGAGCGGGTCAGCCAAGTCCCGGAGAGATGAGTGTGGCGTCAGGGCCTGCTGAAGGCTCCCTCTGTGCACACCCTGTGTGCATCCGGCGTTCTCCTGGTCCTTGGGACAACCCTCAGTACACGGACTCAAAAGGTGAGGTGCCTTCTTACCTCAAGTACCCCAGCAAAGGGGGGACACAGGCTTCCGGCCTCCACCACGTGCTCCTCGCCCAGGTGCCTGCTGCTCCCCGTTTCCGGAACCCTGCTTCCTGCTCACCCCTCACCCTGCTACACTCCCGTGGGGCTGCGAACACCAGTGAGGGCTGTGCTGACATCCAGGACCCTCATAGATTGATTTGATTTACTTTGTGTGAGTGTACACTACTTGGGTGCCGTGCCCATGTGGCCAGAAGAGGGCAACAGCTCATAGCTGGGTGGCATGGGGGCTGAGAACCAAATTTCTTGAAGAGTAGTGAGCATTGACCCCTCAGCCATCTCTCCAGCCATCTCATCCAAGGCTCTTATTAAAAACCTCACTGGTTGAGCCAGACATGGCTTGACAAGTAAAGGGGCTTGATTCCAAGGCTGACACCTGAGTTCCATTCCCAGACCGACCCACACTGGGAAAGCCGAGATCAGACTCCTGCAGCCCCTCCCACCCCAAAAAACACAAATAAATACGCTAATTTTGTTACTGTTTTTCGAGAAAAGGTTTCTCTGTGTAGCCCTGCCTGTCCTGGAACTCACCCTGTAGCCCAGGCTGGCCTGGAACTCACAGGGATCCCCCTGCCTCTGCCTCCCCGTGCTGTGATCAAAGTTGTGCGCCACCACTATCTGGCTACATTTTTTTTTTTGAGACAGGGTCTCTCTGGAGACCTAGCCTATGTGAAATTGTGTAGACCAGGCTGCCTCTGCCTAGTACTGGAATCAAAGGCACACACCACCATGCACAGTTATACTGTGGCTTCTGCAGAGGGCCACACTTTGGTTCCCAGCACTCACATGGTGTTTATAACCATCTGTAAGTCCAGTTCCAGAGGACCTGAGACCCTCTTATGACCTCTGCAGACACCAAGCCCAGACATGGTGCACAGACATGCATCCAGGCAAAACATTCACACTCATAAAATAATAATAACCAGGCTCAAGCCTGATGACCTGATTTGAGTCTCTATAACCCACATGGCAGGAGAGAACCAACAGGTAGGATTATCCTCTCCTTCCCATGGATACACCATGGGATCCATATAGGTGTGCACACACAGACTCACAAATAAGTGGGGTGTGTGTGTTGTTTGTTTTTGCTTGTTTGTTTTGTTTTGTCTCCCCCCCCCCCCCAGACAGAGCTGGCCACCAGTCTGTCTCTCTGGCTCAAACGCTGGCATTAAAGATGTGTGCCTCTGTCCTAGTGCTGGGTTTAAAGATGTGGGTGGCTCTGTTTGTTTGTTTGTTTGTTTTCTGAGACAGGGTTTCTCTATGTAGCCTTGGCTGTCCTGGATCTCTTAGAGATCGCCCGCCTCTGCCTCTAGTGCTGGAATTAAAGGTGTGCGCCACCACTGTCTGGCTTTGAAACCCCTTTTTTGAGACAAACTTTCATATCACACAAGTTGGTTTTGAATCCCCTCCCCATGTATAGTGGAGGATGACCTTGAATTTCTGATTTCCCCGCCTCTACCTCCTGTATGTTGAGATTGCAAGCATGCACCGCCATACTCATTTTATACCATGCTGGGAATTGAATCCAGGTTTCAGTGCATGCGAACCAAGCACTCTAACAATTATAGAGTTACTAATCCCTAGTCCCTATTTAGTAATACCACGAAAAGGTTCTGATTAGCCCTAACCCTGCACACACACACACACACACACACACACACACACACACACACACACAGAGAGAGGGAAAGAGGGGGATGAGAGACAGTCATTCCTTCCAGAACCATGCTGGTCTTGGGAACTCAGTTCCCCTTCAGAAAAAGGGAATGTTTAATGGACCAAAACAAATAGCCAACAGCATGACTACCGGGAAGGGCAATCAGTCGGAGGTCAGCTGAATGGGGAAGGTACTTGGGACACAAGAAAATGTTAGTCTAGCCGGGTGACAGGCACCTGTCTTAGAGGCGGGTACTATCGCCAACCCCATTGAGAGGCAGAAAGTAGATCAGAGAAGTTCAGTAACTTGCCTTGAGAGGCATGGGATGTGCTATGTCTCTGACTCCAAGTCGGGCCATGCGTGTCCGGAATCTGCACCAGAACCCTCCTCTTTCCCATCATTCGTTTGCAATATCTGAAAACGAATAGGAGGCAAGAGTGCCATCAGACTGCTCTGTGTTAGCAGACTCGTGGTTTCCAAGCTTCCTGCATTTGTTTTACCTGCTGCTGTTCCCGAGTCCATGGAGTCACTTCACGCCCGATTGTTTCCTGGTCTCTCCATCAAGATTCAACGCAGCAATGGCTTATTTCACAGTGCCAATATAAGCACAGTGAACTTGGAGAAATCCTGTGTTTCAGTGGAATGGACAGAAGGAGGTAACACAAAGGGAAAGAGATTGATATTGATGATGTGGCTGCAATAAAACCAGAACTCTTCCAGCTTCTTCCCTTACACTGAAGGACAATCTGCCACTGCAGGAAAACGTAACAGTTCCGAGGCAAAAACACAGATTGGTCAACTCCAAAATTCCAGCTCCAAAAGGAGGTCTTCAAGGTTGGGGATTTAGCTTAGTGGTAGAGCGCTTGCCTAGCAAGTGCAAGGCCCTGGATTTGGTCCTCAGCTCTGGGAGAAAAAAAAAGGTCTTCGAAGCCGGTCCACTCACATGTCCACTGTCCCAGAGGTTCAAATTGCCAGGAGAAGGAAATGGGGGTGGAGCTGCCTGTGGCTACAAACTCTGTTACCACCGGCTTCCCTCGGCCCTCCTGCCCTGCAGTAACAGAATTACCATTGTCGATGGTCAGTGAAGAGACAGAAGAGCAAGCCCACCCTACCCGAAGCATGTCTTCTGCAAACCCTGGAAATTCAGTTTGGAGGAAATCATGTTTGTGAAGGAAATGGGAAAAATGAAGAACAAGCAGAAAGAGAAGAGGGCCCAGGACTCGGAAATAAGAATAAAGGGAGCTCAGGAACATGACAGCAGCTTCCCAAACTGGGAATTTGCCCGGATGAGTCAAGAATTTCGGGTTACTATGGAATGTCACCCACTTATTGTGACTGATCCTTTTGAGGAACACAGGATCTGTGTCTGTGTTAAGAAGCGCCCACTGAATAAACAAGAACTGACCAAGAAGGAAATCGATGTGATTTCTGTTCCCAGCAAGTGTTTCCTCTTTGTGCATGAACCAAATTGAAAGTGGACTTGACAAAGTATCTGGAGAACCAGGCATTCTACCTCGACGCTGCCTTCGACGAAACAGCTTCACATGAAGTTGTCTGCAGGTTCACAGCAAGGCCACTGGTGCAGACGATTTTTGAAGGGGGAAAAGCAGCTTGCTTTGCCTATGGGCAGACAGGCAGTGGGAAGACTCATAAGTGGGTGGAGACCTGTCTGGTAAATCTCAGAATGCATCTAAAGGGATCTACGCAATGGCTTCCCGGGATGTCTTCCTTTTGAAGAGTCAGCCTCGCTACCGGAACTTAAACCTGGAAGTTTATGTGACATTCTTTGAGATCTACAATGGGAAGGTGTTTGATCTGCTCAACAAGAACGCCAAGTTACGTGTACCAGAAGACAACAAGCAACAGGTGCAGGTTGTGGGATGCAGAAGTAACTGGTTAACTGCTGATGACATCATCAAGATGCTCAACATGGGCAGCACCTGCAGGACTTCTGGACAAACGTTTGCCAACTCCAATTCCTCCCACTCCCATGCCTGCTTCCAGATTTTTCTTTGAGCCAAAGGGAGATTACATGGCAAATTCTCTTTGGTAGATCTGGCAGGGAATGAACGAGGGGCCGACACTTCTAATGCTGACCGGCAGACTCGCATGGAGGGTGCGGAGATTAACAAGTCTCTCCTAGCTCTGGAGGAGTGCATCAGGGCGCTCGGACAGAACAAGCCTCATTCCCCAATCCGTGAGAGCAAGCTGACACAGGTGCTGAGGGACTCATTCGTTGGCGAGAACTTGAGGACTGGCATGATTGCCATGATCTCACCAGGCATAAGCTCCTGTGAATATACATCACACACGCTGAGATATGCAGACAGAGCGGGCCCAGTGGAGAACAGCCAACTCAAATGGAAACAGAAGAGATGGAAGCCAGTTCTAATGGAACCCCGCTGGCAGTTGATTTCACCAAGGAAGAGGAGGAGCTGTCTTCCCAGATGTCCAGCATTAATGAAGCCATAACTCAGATCAGGGAGCTGGAAGAGAGGGCCATGGAGAAGCTCAAGGAGATCATACAGCAAGGACCAGGCTGGCTTGGGCTCTCTGAGATGACCGATCAGCCCGAACACGACTTGGAGGCCTTTGTGAAGAAAGCAGAGTCTGCCCTGGCGCAGCAGGCTAAGCACTTCTCAGCCCTGCAGGAAGTCATCAAGGCCCTGCGCCTGGCCATGCAGCTGCAAGAACAGGCTAGCAAGCAAATAAACATCGAGAAACGGCACCAATGATGACTTCAAATAAAGATCTGTTTGGTATAAAAAAAAAAAAAAAAAGAGTGTCATCAAGGCGCACCCTCCTGCAAGCCCTGCCAATCACCCCTTGAGAGCAAGCACCGCGTGGCCTCCGGGCATCACAGATGGAACCTGTGTCTTGTGGAGGGGGGCACCAAAGACAGGCACGTACGCGCATGCGGGGGGTGGGGGTCTTTGCAAGGCTTCCGCCTCCCCGCCTTAGCAAAGTTACCTGGCCCACGGGGGGCGGAGTTAGGGAGTTACGGTCTGTGCGCGCGCCGGCCCCGCCCTTGGTCTCCTCTGGCACCTGTTGGCCTGAGGGGCCGCGGCTGCCACCCAATAGACAGCCTCCCTGAGCCGCCAGGGCCCCGCCCCCGATGCGAAGCCACCAATCCCCGCGTTGCCACCGCCCCTCTGCTCCCTGGCCCCTCCTTCCGCGCGCTTCTTCCGGGCCGGCTGGAGCGGGGGGCCGAGGCCATGGCTCCCTGGGCGCTGCTCAGCCCTGGGGTGCTGGTGCGGACTGGGCACACCGTGCTGACCTGGGGAATCACGCTGGTGCTCTTCCTGCACGACACCGGTGAGCCGGACACCGCGCGACCCCGAATCCCTCATCTTTCCCCTGGAGTGGGTCTCATCCGGTTCCCCTAATCCTCAGATACATTGAGATTCACCCCCAGCTCCTCAATTCTCATCTGTCGATCCAGGAACCATCCACTCTCTGTCTGATACCCAAGTTGGTCCCTAATTAATGCCGGGATTTTTCCTGTCGACGACATATATCCATCCAAAGACCACCAGTGACCATCAAATCCGAGGACCAACTAGAGGCCCCGTCTCCCCTGACCCAGGGCTCCACCCCATCCATCCTTCTCAGAAATTGCCTCCCAACCTCTCCCTGAATAAGATTAAGAAATCGATTAGATTCAAATACTGGCTTTTTGCACAACTCCCCAAATCCTGGGAAGACTACTGCCCAAAAGAACACCAGAGCGGTCTCCCACCTTCCCTTGGTAGCATTCACCCATCCACCTCCTTCCCCTTGATTTCCTTCAGCAACTCCTACCCAGGTTTCCCCACCCAAGGCAACAGCCCCCACCACTGAGGCTTTGGGTCAGCCTCCTCCACCGCCTTTGCCCTTTATGCTCGGGCTTCCCCTCCAGGAATCAGCCGCTCCTTTCCAAACCTATGCTCTCTTTCGACCAAGAAGAGTACTAGAGTTGTCTACACTCAGCTTGTCCAGTGTCTCCACGCTCTCACTTCTCAGCTCTCCCACCTCTCCAGAATCCTCATTCACCACCATGGGCTTAAACACGCTGGGACCTTCCTAGCCTGGGCTCCCTAGGCAGCAGCATCTGGGCCTCTTTGAGGGCTGACTCTTCCCATGGAGAACCTTTTCCCCTGGCCCCATTCATCAGGTTAGCCTCATCCCCCCACCGCCCCCCCCCCCAGCTACTTCCTTCCTGACCCCTCTTGCTGTGGGCCTCACTGTCCTCTGGCCTCTCCAGAGCTCCGTCAATGGGAAGAACAAGGGGAGCTGTTCCTGCCCCTCACCTTCCTGCTCCTGGTTCTGGGCTCCCTGTTGCTCTACCTGGCTGTATCACTCATGGACCCGGGCTATGTGACCACGCATCCCCAACCTCAGGTAACCAGGGACCCTGAGGTCCAAACCCCTCCTTGGGCCGACAGGGAAATGAGACCTCAGAAATGTCTGTGTGGAGCTCTGAGCTGCTTCCGTTGTAGGACATCTTGGTGAGGCCGCTTTCCTACCCTGTTTTTGCTCCTACAATGAGGAAATCACCAAGGCCCACATGAGAACAGGTGCCTTGTAAAGGCCATCAAGTGTCCAGTACTCTACTGTGTCCCCACCTCCCTTCTACATGGGGTGGGCCCCGAGTCCTGCACAACCTAAGAGAGATGCCCCCACTGTCATCACCGGCCAAGGGGACCCTCCCCCCGTCCCATACCCTTTGTTTCGTTTTCAGGAGGAATCTAAGGAGGAACAGACAGCCATGGTTCCCCAGGCTATCCCACTTCGGCGTTGCAGATACTGCCTGGTGCTGGTGGGTGATGTGCACATACTCTTGTGGGAGGCATCGGGACCAGATTAAGACTCCTTGCCCGGGTGCCCGAGCACCTTGGCCTTTCCCCTCGTCCAGGAAGGCCTCCCCAATTTAGGACCTGACTGTGGTCTTCAGCCCCCTCAGAACCCACTGGGGGGGGGCGGGCAGGACTGAACCTGGACTCCCTCTGTGCCACAGCAGCCCCTGCGGGCCCGACACTGCCGTGACTGCCGTCGCTGCGTTCGCCGCTATGACCACCACTGCCCCTGGATGGAGAACTGTGTGGGGGAACGCAACCACCCGCTCTTCGTGGCCTACCTGGCACTGCAGCTGGTGGTTCTCCTCTGGGGCCTGTACCTGGCGTGGTAGGTGCATCGGGGAGTGTGGACAGCATGCACACAGGTGCTCACAGAGCTGGGACGCCCTGGGATGCCCTGCCTCCCCCAACTCCTCCTCCCTGTCCTCTAGGTCGGGTCTCCGGTTCTTCCAGCCCTGGGGGCTGTGGCTCCGGTCCACCGGGCTCCTGTTTACCACCTTCCTGCTGCTTTCCTTCTGCTCACTGGTGGTCGGCCTGCTCCTGGCCTCACACCTCTACCTGGTGGCCATCAACACTACTACCTGGGAATTCATATCTTCACACCGAATTGCCTACCTCCGCCAGCGCACCGGCAACCCCTTTGACCGAGGTCTGACTCGAAACCTGGCCCACTTCTTCTGTGGGTGGCCCTCTGGGCCCTGGGAGACCCTCTGGGCTGAAGAGGAGGAGGAAGGCAGCAGCCAGGCTGTCTAGGCTTGCTGAAGAGAAGGCTGCCATTGTGCCTAAAAACCGGAGGCTGTGCCACTTAGGGGTCAGCCCAGTTAGCCTGAGCTCTTTACCCCTTCCCAGGCTACCAGCCCTCAGCAGAGCATCGGACAAAACCCCCCACACATAAGGAAGATGGAAGAAAAGGACAGAAGTGGGGGGAAGTGGGGAGGGCGCGACACAAAGAGAACCCAGACGCTGCCACACCCCCTGGCCTGGCTACCTCGAATGTACAGTTTTATTAATTTAATCCTCTATAAAGGCAAGTATTAAAAAGACAAACAGTCCTGCTGTGGGGCCTTTCCTGCTGATCTGGGCACTGCCAGGAAGCAGAAGGGTTAGCGACACAGCTCGCCCAGTAACCCTGAGGAGAGCCTCCGGCAGCAGCCCACGGTCACTACCTGGAACCCCCCACGTTCATTAAATACCTTGGCCCTGGGCACATGGACAAGTAGCGAGTTCTCGAAATCTGGCAGAGGGAGGCAGAGGGGCCAGGAGACCCTCAGGACTCCAGGAACCGCTGAGACACAAAGTCAAAGTCCCGGAAGGCAGCCTGTTGGCGAGCGGTGAGGGAACTTTGGGGTGCCGGTGGGGTCAGGGTTGGCGGCAGGCTGGTAAACTCCCCCTCGAAGTAGCGAAGATCTGCGGGGCCACAGAGCGTAGGCACAAAGGGGGGCCGGACAGTGCGGGCAAGCAAGGCCTGCCAGTTGGTGGTCTGGAAACAAGGATGGAGGAATCTGAGAAGGTGGGAACAGCAGACCCCGGGGTCACCCAGCCCTCCCATCTCACCAGGCAGTGGGGACTGCTGGGTCCTGGCCACTTACCCTGAAGAATGGCTGCACCTTGATCTCCTCTGCGTCCTGCTCTCCTGCCCCTAGACGCTTCTCGGGGCACTTCTGGAGGAGCTGGCAGGAAGCGGGGTAGGTGTGAACTCGGCAGGCCACTCCGGGTGCCGGCTGCCCCACAGGTGCCTACTTCAGCACGCCGTAGGGACCCAAGGTGGGGTCAGGAAGCACACAAGTCACCAGCAGCTGCCTGGCCAAGCCCTGGACCTTGGGACTCACCTTCTGAATGAGCTCAAGCCCTTGAACGGATAGGAAGTGCGGATATGGGGCGTCGGCATTAACGATGCAGTCGAACACCTCCTCTTCTGTGTCCCCCGGGAATGGGCACTGTGAAGAGGGGGGTGGGGCGGGTTATGGGGGTCATCCCACTGTCCTCACCCCAGACCCTAGAAGCCCCACTCAAGGACTTACCTCACCCACTAGCATCTCATAGAGCAGCACACCCAGCCCCCACCAGTCCACAGCCCGGGTGTAAGCCTCCTGAGTCAGAACTTCGGGAGCCAGGAACTCTGGGGTGCCACAGAAGGTGCTCGTCCGGTCCCCAAATCCAATCCCTGCAAACCATTATCCACACCAATGCCTGCTTAGGTGTGGTTATAAGAATCAACAGGGGGAGGGGCCTGGAGGGATGGCTCAGTGGTTAAGGGAGGACTCAGGTTGGATTCCAGCACCCACGGGGTGGCTTTGCAGCTGTCTGTAACTCCAGTCTCAGGGTATCTGAAGCCCTCTTACGGCCTCCACAGGCTCTAGGCACAGATATCTCATGCACAGACATACATGCATGCAAAACACCCATACACAAATATTTTTTGGAATTCCTTTTTTTTAAATTAATATTTCTCCTGCCAGATCACAGTTTTCTCTCCTATCCCATGGCTAGCTGATATACAGGGAAGGCCTGCAATTTTCTGAAGGGAAGGGAGAGGTAGTGGATTGGAGGGAGGAGGTCAGAGGGAGGAACACACAAAAATTTTATATACAAAAATATTTTAAAAAATCACCATGCAGTGGTGGCGCACATCTTTAATCCTAGCACTTGGGAGGCAGAGGTAGGTGGATATCTGTGAGTTCAAGGCCAGCCTGATCTCCAAAGTGAGTTCCAGGAAAGGCGCAAAGCTACACAGAGAAACCCTGTCTTGGAAAAAAAAAAAATCAAGGCCAGAGATAGAGGTGTGATTCAGTAGTAAAGTGCTTGCCTGGCACATGTGAAACTGTGGGTCAAAACTCAATAATGCGGGCTGGAGAGATGGCTCAGAGGTTAAGAGCACCGACTGCTCTTCCAGAGATCCTGAGTTCAATTCCCAGCACCCACATGGTGGCTCACAACCATCTGTAATGAGATCTGGCACCCTCTTCTGTATAGATAAATAAATAATTCTTAAAAAAAAAAAAAAACTCAACAATGCAAATACATACATACATACATACATACATACATTTCATATGTACGTAGATACATATTTACTAATCTGTGTCAGCCTTTATGATACCCATTAACAAGGTCTGCTGTGTCCTGCAGACCCCCTAGGCCAAGGTCATGCAGCCAGTGACTGTATGAGAAAGCTAAGTCTGCTGAACCTATGTGCAGAACAAAGTCCTCTTCAGTCCTAACCATAGGTTCTCTGACCAACTACAAATTAGGAGGAGCCAGTACTCTAAGCTGTCCTCCTAAGTAAGGGTCCCAGTTGGGAATTAAGGCCAGCGGCTGGGGAGCCTGGGTTGACTTCCGGCTGGCCTGGGCAAGACAAGCGGATGTGATTCCAGGAGGGGGGCCCCACCTTCCTTGCACAGTCCAAAGTCCGCAATCTTCAGGAAACCCTGGGCATCCAGAAGTAGATTATCCAACTTCAGATCCCTGAGGGCAGAGGGCTGCAGATCAAAGGGGCTGAAAGGGCTGAGGCCCAGACCACAGCAGCAGCACAGGGGAGGGGCACCCCAGGTCCACCCTCGCATCTCTCAGAGACTACCTGTAAATGATCCTCTTCTCGTGTAGGAACTGCAGCCCCAGGACCACACAGGCCAGGTAGAAGCTGAGAGAGGGATGGTACAGGGAGGATTCAGGCCAGGCGCTAGGAGGCACCAGAAGGTCCTGGCCAGATTCAGGCATGGATGAGACCAAATAATATGGTGCCTGGGCTAGAAGGGCCCAGAGTCATCCCAATGTTGTCATATATTAATGACCTATCCTTCCCAGGCTCTAATATGTAGGACCACTGGATCCAGTAGTATAGACCTGTGATCGCAGCTACTTGGGATGCTGAGGCTGGAGGGTACGAATTTTGAGGCTAGTCTGGTCTACATAGTAGAACCCGCTTTCAAAAAACAAACAGAAAAGGAAACACAGAGGGGTGGGGATGTAGCTCAGTGGCAGAGCACTTGCCTGGCATACACTAAACCCTGGGTTCAGTGCTCTGTATGGGTATCTCCCCAGCAGCCTGTGGAGGATAACCATCACGACTTTTACTCAAACTAGGATCTGGGAGGCTGGAGAGATGGCCCAGGATTTAAGAGAGAGTATTACTCCTGAAGATGACCTGAGTTTGGTTCCTAGAATCAGGTTCCTACATCAGGTTGCTCACAACTGCCCGTCATTCCAGCTCCAGGGTATCTGGCACCCTCTTCTGGCCTCCAAGGGTTCCTGCACTCAGGTGCACATGGCCATGCACAGCCACACATACATACACTCAAATGAGGATCCGAGACTTGACCCAGTATGACACTCAGTTCAGAACTGATACGCTGAGTCAGATTGCTCTAAGCAGAGCAGGCATGGGAGCATGGCAAGCAACTCCAGCTGCCATCCTGTGCTGAGCAGTTTGCAAGCATTGCTCTCATCCCTGCAACAATCTTACAAACTTGTGGGGACAGATCCCATCCACAACTGTGCAACAGAACCCCCGTGTGCTGTCCGAGTTCCACCAAGGCTCCTCCAACCCAGTGCTACTTGTCTGCTGGGTACCTCCCACCCCAAGGGAGCAAGCGCCAAGTAACCAGGGAACCCACCAGGCCTGGGGTTCAGGAAAGACGTCCTCGTGGATCTGCATCATGAGGTCTCCTCCAGGCACAAACTCAGTAACAAAGCAGGCATGGCTGGAGGTCTGGAAGCAGGCCAGGAGGGACAGCAGGAAGGGGTGTCCTGTGTGACCCACAGCCTCCAGGATCCGCTTCTCGCAGTACAGGCTGCAAGGGAGGGTGGGATGGATGGGATGGAGCCTCCAGGGGCTGTGCCCTGACACCCACACAGCCAGCACCTCTGGTTGGATCCTCAAAGAGCTAAGGAGGTAAATTGATGGTCTGCACATGGGGAAGGTTTAAAACCATCAAAACTAGACGTGTGGTGGCGCACCCCTTTAATCCCAGCACTCAGGAGGCAGAGGCAGGTGGATCTCAGAGTTCCAGGACAGCCTGGTCTACAGAGCAAGTTCCAGGACAGCCAGGGCTACACAGAGAAACCCTGTCTTTAAAAGACAAAACAAAAAACAACAACAAACCTTCAAAACTATCCCAGTCCTATTTATAAAAGAGCTTTCTCAAGCTGGTGCTTGGTGAAACCCAAGGTGCTAAAAGACGTGAGAGCTTTCCCAGTGCCAAAAAGAGAACCTGAACCTGGCCTCTGGGATCTTGAGCTGCCTTGTGGGACCCAGGCTAACCACCCACGTGTCACTACTTCTCAGTTATACACACCTGTCAATCTCGTCCCGGCCCAGCACTTCCTGCTTCTTCAGGGCCTTGACAGCATAGTACTTTCCGGTTCCTTTGTACTGGACCAGGAGGACCTGGGGACCGGAAAGAGCTGGGCTCCAGATGGGCAGGACAGAGAGACCTCCCCTCCCTATCCTGCACCCCCACATCCCAGCACCTCCTAGCTAATGTGCTGAGGCTCACCCACCCACCAACTCCACTGCGCTATCCTCAACCCGCTACCTTCCCGAAGTGTCCCCTGCCCAGTACAGCCAAGCATCGGAAGTCCTGAAGTCGGGGGGGTTTCCTGCAAGAAAGAAAGGCCACAAGAAGTGGGACAGGACCAAGGTCAGGCCTTCCTGTCACAGCCTAGGCTGTCCCCACAGCTGGAATTTAAAAACTGCATTCAGCACATAAGGAAGGCATTGAGCAAACCAGTTTGTGTACCCAAGGAGCCAGGGAGTGAGGTGTCAATCGGTATGTACGATGAGTGAGTGTTGGTGCACACTTGTAATCTCAGCACTCAGACCACAGAGACAGGGGAATCACAAGTTCAAGGCCAGCCTGGGCTACACAGTAAAGCCTTATTTTTAAAAGAGTAAGCCTCAAGGAAGTGAAATGGCTTAAATTCCATGCCTAGGACCCACTTTAGAAATGCCAGACGTAGTGGCTGGTTCACATCTGAAACGCCAGCCCCCGCACCCTAAGGTGAGACGGGAGGTGGAAATGAAGAAGTTCAAGTACGTGATCAG